TAGAAAGATATTCCCAAACAGGAATAACTAAAGCGAACAATTTAAGTATGCTGATCATGCTAAGTGACAACTCTTTACGAGCAGCAGCCTGAAACTGTATCAACAGTTAATTCTAAATACTGCAGCTGTGTTTTATTGGTTCAGAAACAGAATTGTAAAGGAAGTATTGAAGGTGGGTTTCTGTAGCAGTGACTTTGAGTGTTTCATCTAAAATGTAAGTGAAATTTATGACAAAGTTTAAACGACTGCTATAAATTCTAATGGAAAGTACACAACTGCACTTTAAAAGGTAAATTCTAAGTGGGTAGTTGATTAAACAAAGTAGGTTAGTTTGGACACCATGTCAGGAGGGAAATGTGAGTGTAAGGCTGTCTTTCCTTGAACAGAGTGCTTTTGAGGTAGCTTCCATTTATGCACTGAAGAAAAGACACTGTTTTAGGCATTTATGAAATGTGTCTCATTTAGGACAGAATAGAACCAGATATTGACTGTGCTTGCTGTGTTGCTTGATTCTGCTTTGATGGGTGGTTAATAGAACTCATGATCCTCTAAATTGTGAGCCAAGATTACACAGAACGTTTAAATAACAATTAGAGGAAAAATTGTTTTCAGATATTTACGTTGTTAAATCCAGCTAGTTTTATTTAAATATACCAGCAAGAGGCAAGTGCCTATATTAAAGAATCTTAATATGCAAAGTTCTTTTTTTATATAATATTTGCTGAAATATTTGAAGGGGAGAAAGATGTATGCTGAGATGAGGAGAGTTATCTTTTGAGAAGGAGATTGATACTGATTGATAATTAGCTTTCACAAGAGAAATACTTTGCATCCTCTTGATCCACACCCCAACTCCCGCAGTGGCAGCCCTGACCTCTGTCCAAAGCTCCTATGTGGGTGACAGGAACCGAGTAGTCGGGCTGTCCTCCACTGCTTTGTAGGGCACATTAGCAGGCAGTTTATTGAAAAGTGGAGCACTCGAGACTCAAACTTACTTTGCTAGCTCCAAGCCATTAGTTTTTCGTGTGCTGAAATCTAGGGAATTTTGTTTGCAATTCTATTTGTTGAACTAGATGGTTGTTTTAAAATCCTGTGTTTTGATTAAATAGAAAAATTGTTTTAAATTTTACTATCTCTGCCTGTTGAGATATGTATTATGTTATTACCAATGCCACATTTAAAAAAATGAATTCCATATAATTAATTTTATGATGTACATGTGTGCATGTGTTTCTTTATTAAACTTTAGACGTGAGAGTACCGTATTGTGGTTTGTAAATATAGAATTCATTTTTGAATGTAAGGAGGCCATTCATGTATGTGAATAAACTTGAGTACATGGTAATGTTTATCAACTAGCTTTCACTGATTTTTTATATTACAGCTTGATCTCTTTTTCCTCTTTTTAAAAAATTATCTATTTGAAAAAATAGACCTCTAGATGCTTCCCTCTACTGGTTCATATTTCAAGTGGTACAAACAGTAAGGTGTAGTCCAGGCCACATCCAGGAGCTGGAAACTCCTTTCTGGTCTCCTACATGGGTGGCAAAGGCCTAAATATTTAGCAGGAGACTGGATTGGAAGCAGAATAGGTGGGATTCAAAGTGGTACTTCAGGGATGGCAGCTTCGCAAGTGACAGTTGAACCTGGTACCCTGACAAAACCAGCCTTGGTGATCTCTTATTTATTCTTGCAAAGTGTTCATAATTATGTATACACTTCAGTGAGTGACATTTTAAGGCTAAGCTATTTTAGTATTATCCTGAACCTACGAAATACTCGTTATACTGTTTGAGCATCCTTAATCTGAATTATCTTGTTATCTCAAATAAGAATGCTAAACTGGGCCCAGCGCCGGGGCGCAGTGGGTAAGGTCCTCGCCTTGCATGCCCGGGATCCCATATGGGCACCGGTTCTATCCCGGCAGCCCTGCTTCCCTTCCAGCTCCCTACTTGTGGCCCGGGAAAGCAGCAGAGGAAGGCCCAAAGCTTTGGGAACCTGCACCCATGTGGGAGACCAGGAAGAGGTTCCTGGCTTCGGATCAGCATAGCATCAGCTGTTGCGCTCACTTGGGGAGTGAATCATCAGACGGAAGATCTTCCTCTCTGTCTCTCCTCTCTGTATATCCGCCTTTCCAATTAAAAAAAAAAAAGAATGCTAAACTGTGTCTATGCAAATATTGCAAAGTCACAAATTCCAAAATCTGAAACATTTCTTGTCCCAATCATTTCAGATAAGGAGTACTCAACCTGTACTATTATTGTTAGACATTGAGGTCTCACTGGAGTCCTCTTATAAAGAAATTGGGCTCCAACTCTATTAGTTTACTTACCAAGTTGATGGATTGAACAATTTAAGCCAGAGCATTAGGTCATAACTTTTACATTGGCAGTGTATTGATGATGTCCTATTGTATATCACACGTTAATGTATGTATAGTGTTTCAGAAAATGAGAATGGATCCTAGTGGGGATTGAGTATGGTTTTTCCTCTTGCCTTAAGGAACAATTGTTACTATATGTCATGAGTGATCTTTCTATGAAATTGTCTAAACATTTTTAAGATTTTTAAGTCTGTTGTTCTTATAGTTCCAGTGCCCATACATATCTTATGTCCTTGAGTAAAAGGACTATTTTAAATATTTTAAAAGATTTCTTTTGTCTCACCCACTCATTTCAAAATATCTTCTCCTAGTTCTCCACCATCAACTGATTTCTGAGTCTTCATTTGTGTAAGTGTGCAAAAAAGTAATATATTCCCCAAATGGAAAGAAATCTTTTTTCTAGTGTTTTTTGGGAACCAGAACCTAACACCAGCCATTCTGTTGGATGTTATATTTCCTAAGCACTGTCTTAACTGCTATACCAAATATTTGCCCCAGAATGTTTTAAATAGACAATTTAATTCTTTAATAGAGGCCCAGAAACTCAGTTTTTCTATGGTTGTACTTTTTCCTTTCAAGCAATGTGAATGTTTTAAGATGTTGAAGTTTGTGGCATGAAGTTCATAATATTATATTCTCTTAGTTTGTAGTCAAGTTCACTTTGATTCTGGATTGTCCTAATTTGTTTCTGTTCTGTTTCCTGTGTCCAGCTAATGTTTTATCAATTTTATTGACCTTTTAAAGGAACTGACTATATTTGGTATTAGTACTTTTTCTGATTTTTCTTTCTTTCTGTTCACTGAAAGAAGTGAATTTGGTTTAAGCCCTTGAAGAAATCGGGATATGTCACAAATAAGTAATGGGGAAAGGAATAAGTTACTGTCTATGGGACATAGATATATGTCCAGTGACAGTATAATATTAGTAATTATCTATCTTTGGTAATTCCTATAAAGAAGTTTTGTCTATAAAAACGTCTGAAATAATAAAAATAAAATATTTTTGTTTAGTGCAGCAGGTGCTTTTTTATGTACAGATCTCTGTGCTTTCTCTATCTCATAAAGATACTTGTTACATTGTTCTTTAGTTGTAATTACCTTGATGTGTATATGTATAGCAATTAGGGATAAAATTAAGCATATTATACAAGTTATACAATATGGTTTTTAATGTTTGTATTACTTTATATATATATATATATATATATATTTTAGTTTCAGGCAAATATTTGTGTTCCTATTCCAGTAAACTTTTTTTTAAAGATTTATTTTATTTTTATTACAAAGTCAGATAAACAGAGGAGGAGGAGAGACAGAGAGGAAGATCCTCCGCCTGATGACTCACTCCCCAAGTGAGCACAATGGCCGGTGCTGCGCTGATCAAGAAACCAGAATCCAGGAACTTCTTTCCGGGTCTCCCATGCAGGTGCAGGGTCCTAAGGCTTTGGGCCATCCTCCACTGCCTTCCCAGGCCAGAAGCAGGGAGCTGAATGGGAAGTGGAGCTGCCGGGACTAGACCCGGTGCCCACATGGGATCCTGGCACATTCAAGGCGAGGACTTAAGCCGCCAGGGTACCGCACCGGGCCCATCCAGTAGACTTTTTGGTGATGACCAGCTTTCAGTCTAATTGCTACATGGTGTGTGTGGTTCTTGTCCCTATTTTACCATCTGTACCAACACACCAAAGTAATATAAAAGTAACAGATAAAATTTATGGTGATTTTACTCTAAGCTAGGAAAAACTATATTTTCCTTGTTTGATACCAGATCAAATTCCACACATTGTCTCTATAGAGGCTTACTGTTTTTAATAAATCAAAGTCTACTTAAAATAATTTGGCTATGATACTATTGTAAGCTTTTTCCTGGAGCTTCAAGTTTTTTTAAAATGAAAATGTAAGTCTTATTCAACTTGAACAGTCTTACTTGTTATTGTAGAAATTGTCATTGGGTAAATTAAACAATATAGTTTTGTGTGGTTGGGTGAGAAATAAAATCATGTTGTAAAATACTGGGTAGCTACCAAATTTAGATATCCCACCCAGATAATAATGAAGAGACAAGACAGCATTGTTTTACCTGGGTTTGAATCTTATCTCTGGTATCCGTTGCTGTGAAAACCTGGGTAAATTTTATATTCTTTGTGTCCCATTTTTCTGACTTCCAAAATGAGAATTGTAATACCTCCTATCTCAGAGTGGTTGTGAAGTTTAAAGGAGTTAGAATACAAAGAGATTGCCTAATATCTGTGTTAGCTATTCTTGCCAGCCTTTTCTGAGCCACAGTGTATATTTTTTTATAATGCTCCATATAAATGTTGATTTCTGTGCCTTTTCTGTTATTCTGTTAGGATAATGGTAGAGTCCATCGTTTGCCTTATATATCAAGGGAAATTTACTGGAGAGAATATGCACTTAATAAATACAGTGAATGATGTTGAAAGTAATATCTGTTACATAAAATATGTACTACATATTAATTTTTGAATAAAATCAGCTTTCACTCTAGTTATGACTTATTTGAATTTTTACTTGCAGAAGTACATAGCTCTTATAAAAATAAGTCACGTGCATCTTTTTTGTTTTGTTTTGTTTTGGTACGGTGGTGATGGAAATAGTACCTCAGTGTGTCTGGAGAATAAATGTGGATATTCCTGAAGAAGCTAACCAGAATCTCTCATTCAGTGCTACTGAACGATGGTGGGAACAGACAGATTTGACCAAATTAATATTATCAAACAACAACCTTCAGTCACTTGCAGATGACCTCCGACTTCTGCCTGCATTGACAGTTCTTGATGTAAGTTGACTGACTATAAATACGAGTAAATATTACTTGAAAAGACAATGAAAGCTTAAATGATCAGAAAACTTTCCAAGTTAAATTGGTGTAACCTAGTTGTAAATAGCAAATTACTATGTTAAACACAGCAGAATAGTTTAGAGTACAGCATGAGAACATCAAATTCTGATTGCTAGATGTTAGCTTTGTGTCTTTAGGAATGTCATATCTCCACATCTTAGTTTGTATTCATACAAATAAAGAATAAGTCTACCACTTGTTTTTAAAATGTATTATTAGAATTAAATAAACTAATTATAATTAGAATAATGCATACAAATAAAATCAGTATATAACAAGTGGTTGCTTTTGCTTATCTTTATTTCATTTTTTATAAATCGTTACTGCTATTATACATATTAAATCACATTCAGCACTTAGGGCAAGTTTTCTTTTGTAACATGCCTGCAATGTCATTGACTTAAATTACTCAAATTTCAATGTTTTTATTAAGTGACTCTATTTTTAGTCTCTGGTTACTGTGTAGATACACCAAGATTGGTGGAATAAGTGAACAGTAGTTCATTTGTGGATTTACAGACTTGACTTAGCAATATCAAAATCCCTCCAATTCCTTTGTGAAAAAGTTGGATCCAAATTAGTGAAATTTCTAGGCAAGCTTTTATTTTTTGCATCTATAGGATGGAATGAATCAGTACACTCAGATTTCTTTACCTGAAAGAGGAGTAGAGTTTGTGAACACATGAGAATATTTTTGTGTATGTTGAGTTAATCTTATCATCAGAGGATTATGGTTTCTAATTCCCTTGGCTCTTATTTAAAGTCAGACTCTACTCAATGAGGTAGGTGTTGTGTGTTTTTTTTTTTTTTTTTTTTACTTTTAAAAATATTTAATTATTTTGACAATCTTAACATAGTTGATTAGGGCACAAAGCATCAAGGGCTATTAAGAAAATGGGTAACACCATTGTTTCCACATTCTCTTTTTTTCCCCCTGTATCTGGAGTAAGGGGGGAGATAAAGGGAGAAGCCCCACCAGCTTCCCACCCATACCAGGGTCTCCTATGTGGAGCATGCTCCGAGGGTCTTGCTCAAGTGGTTTTGATAGTTCAACAGTTGTAAATTGTTGCCCATCTCACCATTCCAAGCACGGTGAAATTTCTAGAATGCACTGGCTGACATAGTCCATCTTAAAAGTCTCCGTTTGCCCACATTTGCACTAACAACACTTGGCTAAAGTAGATGATAGATTTGTTCTGTCCTCTGTTGTGGTGCCAGGTGTCCTCTGCGGGTTCCGATGGACTGCCATATCCTCCATGTACACCTGGATATGTGATCTACTGTTCCATCAAAGTTGAGGAGGCTCAACTTTGACACATGCACTCCATGGCTGACCATGGAACCTGCACTTCTCTTCATGGTTGGGATTCTGAGATCAGCAGTTCAGTTGGAGGGATCCCTAAAGAAACTGTCTGAAGTGATCCCAGACCTGATTCTTGTTTCTGCATGCCCGTACAGGGTTTGGCACAGTCCATTGCCAGTAACGCTTAGTTTATATTTTATCACTTTATGATTTCTGAGCAGTTTGATTTCAAACTCAATTTTTAAAAACTTATTCTTTTAACTCATTTTATTTGTAAGCACACATAGAGAAAGAGGAGAGTTCATGAACTAGTTCACTTCTCAAATGCCCTATAGTACTTGCTTCTGGCCCAGTGCAGAGCCATTCTCTACTAAGGGGCAGGAACCCAAGTGCTTGAGCTAACATGTACTGCTTCCCAGAATGCGCGTTATCAGGAAGCTGGATTGGAAGCAGAGATGGGACTTGGAACATTCTGTTGAAATGTGGGCATCCCAAGCAGTTACAGTTACTGCACCAAACGTTCCTACCCTTTTCCCTTGTAGACACTGTTAAAATTACTAGTAGCCTAAATCATTGCGATTGAATTAGGAAAACGGTGGTTATCGGTGAATAAATTTTTCTGCGATGGCAAAACTAATATTGCTGTAAGAATATCAACTTCATCTTTTAATAATTGTAGATACATGATAATCAGCTGGAATCTCTTCCTTCTGCTATAAGCGAGTTAGAAAACCTTCAGAAACTTAATGTCAGGTAAGATGTAACCTTTTTTCTATTGTGACAATGATGTATATCTAATAAGATTTTTTTCTGATTATAGTCTATTTTTTCATGGCATAGTTAAAGCAAGATAGATGTTTCAAGTTGTAATGTTCGGATTATTTGTGTTTTAAGTTTGATTTACTTGCTTATTTGAAAGGCAGAGATACTGAAAAAGGAAGGCTTTTCATCTGTTGATGGAGTACTTGGAATAGCCAGGGCTTGGTTGGGCAGAAGCCATGAGCCCTGACCTCAAACCAGGTCTCCCAAGAGTGGCTCAGTGATCCCAATATTTGAGCAATAGCCGGGATTAGAACTGACACCCATATGGGATCCCAGTATGTGCAAGCTGAGGACTTTAGCTGCTAGGCTACTGTGCCGGGCCGTACTTTTGTTTTTTTAGAGATTTATTTGTTCTTTATTGGAAAGGCAAATTTACAGAGAGAAGAGATAACAGATATTCCATCCCCTGGTTCACTCCACAGTTGCTACAATGGCAGGAGCTTAGCTGGTCCAGAGCCAGGAGCATCTTCTTAGTCTCCCATTTGGGTGCAGGGTCCCAAGGCTTTGGGGTGCTGCTTTCCAAGTCCACAAGATGGGAGCTGGATGAGAAGGGGAATACCCAAGACACAAACTGACACCAATATGGGAACCCACTGGATGCAAGGAGAGGACTTAGCCATTAAGACATTGTGTTGGGCCCTGTTAGAACTACTTTTATTTTCATTTAATTTAGGGTTATCATAGGGTCTTAACATTTCTATTTTCTTGTTGCTATTCATGAAGTAACTTCATGTGCCATGAGGGTAGAGTGGAATTCCTTTTTTCTTTTACATAAATATATTTTTGATGATGTTTACATAGTATAGATAGATGTATACCATGTGGACCCCTGATCAGGGTTGAAGAATGTCGGCAAAGTAGAAGAGACACTGCTTCTAATTTTTTTCTTCTTGTAGCTGGGGGACAAGGGAAGAGAGCTGCTCCCAGCACCCTAATTGCATCAGTACTTGGTGATAGGGGATGGGCACTCGGTGTCATCCTAGGGTTTTTGAGGTGAAGCATGTTCTGAGGGTACTGCTTAATTGGTTTTAATAGTTCTGAGGTGCTGTTGATTTAATTGCTTCAAGGTTTAGGAAATCCTTTCAAGGTCCATTGGCTACCATGGTCTACTTCAGAGTCTCCACTCGCCGAAAAACTTGCTGTCATAGCTTGGCTGGGGAGTTGTTCAATTTATTCTGCCCTCCATCCTCTGCCATGGTACTAGATGTTCTCTGCAGGCCTCAACGAACTGGTTGTTATGTCCCCTATGTGCATCTGGCATGCTTTCCACTACACAGGCTTCAGCAACTGAGAAGGCCAGTTCTGACACATGCACCGCAGTTGGACAGCAGCTCCTGTGATTTTCCTCATGGTTGGAGTTTTTGGTCCAGTGATCTGGTTGGGTGGGTTCCCAAAGAACCCTCACCTGTGGTGTGGTGTGCCCAGACCTAACTCCTGTGTGTGCCTACTAGTTCATTCTCCAGCTCAGTCTGTCACCCATATCAGCCTACATACACACTGATGGTGGCAGTCACCCAGGTCAGTTGTTCCCATTTCCATCTCATGAAAAAGCACAGCCCAGCCTAAGCCTGCCCACAATACACTTGAACCTCATGCACACCAGTGGGAACTGTAGCCTAGTTGGGGCAACCCCCAATAATGCCGACCAGACCTAGCCACAACCCTAGTTCCTGTGCATGCCAGTATGTCTGGTCCAGTCTGTCCCGCATCCCATTTGGCTCTTACATACACCAGTGGGTCCTGCAGCCTAGCTTAGCCTGAATGACCTCTGTATCTAACCCACACTTAAACCAGCAGGGATTACCACCTGTCCATCCAGGCACACCTCCAGTGCTAGTTTTCATTCTCACTGGTGGGCACTGCAACCAATTAGAGGTGTGCCCAGACTTTCCCTTCTAGGCCTACTCCCAGCCCTGTGTCTGCACTTTCCAGGTGGTAGTGTGGTTTAGCCTGACAGGATTTTCCCAAGTCCTGACATTTGCTAGCTGATGCTACGGCAAAGCCTGACCAACTTTCATTTACTCTGGCTCATGGATGCACTAGTGGGTACACTTGGTTAGCCCAGTCTGGCTCTCCCCCTAACCCAGCTCACATATAGGCTAATCGGTTTTGTAGCTCATCCTGCCCCCGTGCCAGTCTTGAATCTCGCTGATTGGTGCTACAGTCTAGCTTTGCCTAACCTGTACTGATCCATGGCTTTTGTGCAAACCGATCCATGTGATAGTCTAGCCTGGCATGCCCGACACCCCATTCTGCCTCCTGTGTGTGGCTGTGTCTGATGGTTTGACCTGGTCCTGCCCAGTCTTCCCCTTGACCCAACCTATAACCCTGCCAACAAGTTGAATAGCCTTGTCCAGCCTTGCCCACACCCAGCCCTGACTCTCATGCTGGCCAGTAGGAGTTGCAGCCTACCAGGGGAGTTCCTCAAGTTCGCCTACCAGGCCCACTCCCAGACCTGGATTTCACATTTGCCTTCAGGTGCTAGGACCTTATCTGGTGTTGTGGGCTAAGGAGTTGAATAGTGCTCCTTAGCCTGGGCAGGAGCAGAAACTGGGCTTGTGGCTAAAAACACTTAGACTAATTGGACTTACCTGTATCCAATATCCTGCTAAATGAGGATGTGGGGGGAAGAGTATATAGGAAGAGGTGAAGGAGCAGTAAAGGGAGACTTCGCAGAGGCTTCCATCATCACTGGTCTCCGTCGGTGCTTCATCCCCAGGCCCTCTCCGTGTCCACGTTACTGGCTCTGCTGGCCGGAGCAACCTGGCACAATCTGCTGCCCAATCTTGGTCTTTGTGTGTGTTGGTGGATGTTGCAGCCTGGCCCACCCCACACCCAATTCTTGTTTGTGCCTGATGGTTGCACAGCCTGAATCACCCCAGCCTGTTTCCATCCCCAGTTCCCACAACTGTTGTTGAGTTCTGTGGTCATGCCTAGCTCAGCCTGTCACTGCCCCCAGCCTCAAGCAAATCAGCAGGTTTCGCGGTCCTTCAGTGGTGAGCCACAAATTTGCTACAGAATCTTCCCCCAGACCCAGTTCTTTCATGTTAGTGTCATGGCTTAGCCTAATGTGACTCATCCTCTGTTCTGACTTCCAGTGGTAGATACTGTGGTCTAGCCCTACCAAGTATGCACCGCACCCTCACACACACACCAGCCTAGCTTTCGTGTATGCTGGTGAGTGTGGTTGTTGGTGGTTAGTATTGGCTATCCCAGCTCCTAACTCCCATGTGGTCAAGTGCATTGGTCTGACCCAGAAGGGTCTCCAGTTTTCTTTTATCCACACTGCTCGGTCTCAGCTTCCTTGCCTACTGCAAGTACAGTGGCCAGCTTGATGGATGTCCCCCCAGAAGTTATTATTTCCATGTAATGAACTCTCCTAGTAGTACATCCTCCTGCACATCCTTATATCCTCTTCCCTAAGCTATCTTCAACCCCATGTCCATGGAACACATTGATTTCCCAGCCTAGTCTCTTAGCAGGTAGCCTGCTGGCCTGGAGCTTGGCTGCCCTGACAGGACCCAAGTGCTTGCCCAGGTCCCAAGACTCAGTTCACCAGTATGCCATACCATCTTACAACCCTATCCCTCGGCCTGCCTGGGACCCAAGCATGTGTGTGAGCCCCTCGGCCCACATCAGTGTATTAGCTTGCAACTCCACCTGAGACCCAAACGTGTGTGAGCCCCTTGGCCCACATCAGCGTATCAGCTTGCAACTCTACTTGCCTGCCCACCTGAGACCCAAACATGTGGATGAGTCCCCTAGTGTGCAGCACAGGTACTGGCGAAATCTGGATGGGGCGCCAGTGGAGTGGAATGCATAAGTAAATGGTTAGATTGTGTTTATCCTGGGATGAGTTTATTCATCTGTTAAATATCATTAAGTATATCATTCTCAGTGAGTGGGGACTTCTCAAATAATAAATTGAATATACAGAAGGGTTAACATTAAAATAAAGACCAAGTCAAAAATAATGCATCATATATTAGGTTTAACATAGTATGCTAGGTTTCAAATAGCTACTTTGGCCTTGAATGCTAGGTTTAAAAGATGAGTATTTTATAAAATTGCAGTTCACCCTAACCAACTATGTAAACATCATTAAAAAATTAAATAGTATTAAAAAAAAGATTGTAACTAATGTACATTTATACACATAATTTCGTCAAAATTCTAATAGCTAGATACAGTATAAAAATCAAGTCTGTTAAGTTCTTTTATGTATAAAGTCAAAAATTGATTATAAGCAATCAAAACATTACTGATGTTTAGTTAAAAACTTGTTTTATGATTGGTTTCCTTTGCAATTACAATTTGATTACATAATATTACTATTTTAGTAAAAGTATACTTTGGAAATTTTAATTTTGAAATGCACTTAAATTTGGCAACCGTATTTCTTTTTTGTAGTAAGTCTACATATTTGGTTAATAAGAATGTTTGATATATATTAACATTGTCACCAAATTATTTGACATTTATTTTATCAATCAATAGCCATAACAAACTGAAAAAACTTCCTGAAGAAATTACAAATCTAAGAAATCTAACGCACCTGTATCTCCAGCATAATGAACTTACTGTCATACCAGAGGGATTTGAACAACTTTCCAGTTTAGAAGATTTAGTAAGTTTTTCAAACATTTTTTTATGATTTGGGGTTGGTGGGATTTTTTCATCATGCTGAGAAATTGTGTAGATGATTAAAATAGTGAAGACATGTACAACTTATTTTGTGATGAGATTATCAGAAACTTTTTATTAGATTGTTTTTATAGTATTATTAACTCCACTTTAGTTCAGCAGTACAGTTTGGAGAAGGATCACTGAAGATGACTTTTTTTTCCTAATTTATTTTATTTGAATGGCAGATGTATATATATACAGAGGGAGAGACAGGTAAGTCTTTCTCTGATTGACTCTCCCATTGGCCAAAATGAACACAGGAGCTTCCTTTGGATCCCCCACACGGGTAACAAGGCTCAGCTGGGCCATCCTCTAATGCTTTTCCAGGTGCATTAACAGGGAGCTGGGTCTGAAGTGGAGGAGCCAGAGCGTGAATCAACATCTAGGTGGGACTCTTGTAGGTGGAGGCCTTACCTATTCCACCACAGTGCTGATCCTTACTTTGTTTGATAAAAGGATTTTTTATAAATAGCTTAACACAACAGGGGAAGATTGTCTTTAGTACTTATACCTAAAATAGTTCCATTCTAAGAGTTCCTTCTTTTATATGTCACATATAGTCTTCCTGTCCAGTTTACTTATTTATTTTTATTGATTGATTTATTTTTATTGAAAAGGCAGATTTACAATGAGAAGCAGAGATAAAGAGCTTCTATGTGTTGGTTCTCTCCCCAAGTGGCCACAGTGGCTGGAGCTGAGCTGATTTGACTTTCCAGTAAAAACAAATCTTAAAAAAAAAAAAGCTAAAACATTAAAAAAAAAAAAACCCATCTTGCTGAAATTAGCAAAATCAGATTTTTTTTTTTCAAAATTGAAATGACTTTTTTAGCTTTATTTTCATTCCAAGTTTTTGTTTATTTGTTTTTGGGTTTAGTTATTTGAAATGCAGAGTGACATAACAGAGACAGAGTATCAAAGATTTTCTGTTCAATGGTTCAGCAGTTACCTGTAAAAGCCAGGGCCGGGGTAAGCTGAAACTAAGCTCTTAGGAATTCCATCCAGATCCTGTGTGGAAGGGGTCCTGTTGTATTCCCCAGCGCAGGGAGCACGTGGAACTCCTACCAGCATGCTGATAACAGGATGCATGCTTTGCCATTGGTGGCATAATCTGGTGCACCACAACTGTAACCCCAAAATTTTTCTTACGGATGCTTTTGAATTTACATTATGGCTTTTCTGGTAATTTGCCTAATTTGTTATAGGTACTCAATAAATAATAGACGAACAAATGTATTCACACATTGAAAATATCACATATATCCTGTCTCGGTTTTAATAGAAACCTTTGTGTTAAAGTCATTTGAAGTAGTAATTCATTCTAATGCCTATCTATTACCTTTATGGGCAATAGAGGTCTTGAGATATTCCAAAATAATATTGACATGACACTGTGAAATTGTCGGTGCACAAGAGTTACAAACCTTTGAAATAATGTCTTTCCTATGCAATTTGTTCAAAATCTGAAGTCCTCTTTAGGAGTTATTTCTCTTTCCACTGGCTCATGTATTTATTCATTCTGTTTTTCTTTTTTAAAAGGATCTTTCAAACAATCGTCTTACAATGATTTCCACTGGTATTTCTTCTCTATCCAGTCTGGTGCGAATGAATCTTTCCAGTAATCAGCTGAAGAGTTTGCCAGCAGAAATAAGTAAAATGAAAAGTAAATTCTGATTTTATAAACTCGATTTGAATTTGATGCAAATTGTATTTAGAGTGATCATTTTGAATATGGTTATGTAAAAATAAGTAGATTTTTTAAAATATTTTTTAAAATATTAATTTTGCTTGAAGGAGTTAACAGAGGGGATGTCAGAGAGAGAGTTTCCCTTTGCTGTTTCACTCCCAGATGGTCAGAGCTGAGCTGGTCTGAAGCTAAGAACCAGGATCCTCCTCTGAGTCTCCCACATGGGTTCGGGGTTTAAAATCTTGGACCATCCTGCACTGCTTTCCAAAGCCACGAGCAGAGAGGTGGATCAGAAGTGAAGTAGCCAGGACTTAATCTGGCACCCTTATGGGATACTGGCACCACAGGTGGAGATGAGCAAACCACGGTCCCTTTGCCCTGGAGTACATGGGCACCTGGCGCTAAATTATGCTCAGGTAGGCCCACCCAAGCTGGGCTGGCAGCCCGCAGTGCCAAATCCCCCCACTTATCTTTAATAAATGGATAAATACGTAGAATATAAAGAATAGAATAGGTGACTATGCTGCCACCCTGGTATAGTTAACATAAATTTGGCATTAATCAGGCCCTCGGTGCCTGCCAGCTGTTGGCTGCTTTTCTCCCAGATGTGTAAAACTTGCTAGGTACAAGGCAACCTAGGTAATTGCCTACAGCTGGGGTTTTACTGTAGCCCTTACCTTTAAAATAAGTAAATGTATCTTAAAAATGCTACTTATGTATTAACTTTGCTATTCTTTCTCTATAATTAAAATGCTTGCTTTACATTTCTTAGATTTAATAATATTTGAGTACTCTTTGTTATAGTGGTTTACAGTACCACAGATGATTACAACGATTGCTAACACCTTGTTTGCGCTTGCATGTAGTCAGAGTAATATTTTTTTCGACTTAATTTTTCATTGAATGTTTATTACAGAATTAAAGCTTCTGGATTGTAATTCAAATCTCTTGGAAAGTATACCTCCTGAATTGGCTGGTATGGAATCACTAGAATTGCTTTATTTGCGGAGGAATAAACTACGTTTTCTACCTGAATTTCCTTCTTGTAAACTACTAAAGGTATTATTTACTTTATTATTACATGACTATATATTTTTCAAAAGTTAATTTTAAAAATAAGTTTTTTGAAAGGGGAATTAGGCCATTTTTAATGGCAGTATACTTTTTATTCTGTTGAGCTGTGTTTTTTCTATATTTATATTTCCCAGAATTTTAGCATAGCTACTAACATTAATTGCATTATTAGCAATAATCTTTCTTAAATGCTTTAGTTTTGATGTTTACATGGTTGACAAGAGTGCATGCCCATGAGGACACTGATTATGGTAGGGAGTATTGAGACATGGGGAACAGTGGATGGGACACATGCTTCCAGTTTTCTCTTTTTTCCTGTGTCTAGTGGTAGAGAGAGGGAAGTGGTATTTCCATCTGCCAAACATCAGTAGCTGTAGAGAAGAATGTTTTGAGAAAATTGTTTGGGAAGTTTTGATAGTTCTAGGATGTTGATTTCATTTCTCCAAGCTTAAGAAAATCTTTCCCAGGTCCATTGGCTGACAGAGTCCACCCCAGTGCATCAACTTACCCAGATGCTTGAAGCCAAAGCTAAGCCAAAAGAGTTTGTCCAGCCTGTTCTGTTCTCCATCTTCTGACATGGCACTCAACTTAACCTACAGGTCTAAATGAGCTGGCCATCTTGTCTCCCTTATGCACCTGGGCATCCTCCAAGACACCTCACCTGAGATGACCCCAGATCTGACTCTAGCACATGCTAGCCAGTATAGGATCTGGTTCAGTCTTTCACCCATCTCAGCCTGTGCACACAGTGGTGATTGTAGTTACCTGGTCAGTTCCTTTCCTAGACCCATATCCTGTGCAAACCTGCAGGTTCTGTGGCTCAGCCCATCTTAGCTAGCCCTTACACACACCAGCAAGAACTGAAGTCTAGTTGTGGTGACCCCCAGTAACCACTGCCAGGCCTAACTCCAGCCAGGTTCCTGTGCATGTCAGCATGTACAGCAAACTGGTCCAGTTCGTGCCGCAATCCAATTGGGCACTAGTATACCCCTGTAGATGTTGCAGCTTAGCTCAGCCTCGCTCACACCGTGATCTAGTAAAGAACCTGAAATTCTATCTGGGTCCCTTTCCTACAGAGGTATCAGAGGCCCAAGTTCCTGGGCCATCTTCCTTGACCCTCCCAGGTGTTCTGGCACGGAGCTAAATGGGAAGCAGGACAGCCTGGACTTCAATTTTGGATGATAGCATAACAGGCAGCAGCTCAACTCACTTTGCCACAATGCTGGCCCCTTTGGTTTGGTTTTGTAAACTTAATGTTTACATTGCTAGATGATTCTTGGAAATCTTACTTTTTACCTTTTTCTTGCTAACTGAAATGTAATGGAATATTTGGAGTTTTTTCTGTATGTTTCTTGATATTTGAAATTGAGTATCCACAATTATAGTTTCATTATCTAGTATATCAATAGAGAAATACATATATCTGACTTTTTGTTTTATAGGAATTGCATATTGGTGAAAACCAGATTGAGGTACTAAAAGCGGAGCATCTGAAACACCTGAATTCTATCCTTGTGCTAGAACTGAGAGATAACAAGTTAAAATCTGTTCCAGATGAAATTTCACTGCTGCAGTCTTTGGAAAGGCTTGACCTAAGTAACAATGATATTAGTAGGTAAGTTAAAAAAATCTAATGCATAGAAACCTTGTCTGAATTTACTTATAATTTATAAATTATATTATCTGTAAGATAGGAAAAGTCAATTTTTTAAAAAGATTAATTTTTATTAAAAAGTCAGATATACAAAGAGAAGTAGACAGAGAGATCTTCTGTCCGCTGATTGCCCAAATGACTGCCGTGGCCGGAGCTCTTCTGATCCAGGGAGCTGGATGGAAAGTGGCGCAGCCTTGATAGGACCAGCACCTAGAACCGGCATATGCAAGGCAGACACTTGAGTCATTAGGCTGCCCGCCCCGGTAATTTTTAAGAATTATTAATTCTTGGGCCCGGCAGCGTGGCCTAGTGGCTAAAGTCCTCGCGTTGAATGGGCCAGGATCCCATATGGGCACCGGTTCTAATCCCGCCAGCTCCACTTCCCATCCAGCTCCCTGCTTGTGGCCTGGGAAAGCAGTTGAGGACAGCCCAAAGCTTTGGGACCCTGCACACGCGTGGGAGACCTGGAAAAGGTTCCTGGTTCCTGGCTTCAGATCGGCGCAGCACTGGCTGTTGCAGCCACTTGTTGAGTGAATCATTGGACGGAAGATTTTCCCCTCTGTCTCTCCTCCTTCCTGTACATCTGACTTTGTAATAAAAAATAAATAAATCTTTAAAAAAATGGAAAAAGAATTATTATTTCTTAAAGATTTATTAATTTTTACTGAAAAATCAGATATATATTGAGGAGGAAAGACAGGAAGATCTTCTGTCCCCCAAGTGACCACAATGGCTGGAGCTGAGCTGATCCAAAGCCAGGAGCCAGGAGCTGCTTCTTTGACTCTCCCACGTGAGGGCAAGGTCCCAAGGCTTTGGACTGTCCTTGACCTATTTCCCAGGCCACAAGGAAATGTGGCCGCAGGGATTAGAACTGCCGCCCATATGGGATCCTGCTGCGTGCATGGCAAGGACTTTAACTGCCAGGCTACCCTACTAGCCCCAATTTTTAAACATTGAATTCACTCAGTATTTATCAATAGAAATTACACACACAAACAAAATTAGTTACATTTTGTCCATGACCCCCAAGTTAATATTTTAATAGAAGCAGGTGCATTTTCAAGTTACTGTAATCTACTCACCTGTGGCAGTACTGAATCTGTTTTGTTCATTGCTCTGTTTTCATCTCCTCAATTGGTACTTTGTCATATAGCTGGTCCCTGATAAATATTTGTTGAAATTGTTAAATGAATGTAAATCCATAAGAAAAATATAACCTGCTATAGGGAATCACAATTTATTAAGAGAAGCAGAAATAACATTTCTAGGTAATCATTAGCAGTGGCATTAAGGTAAGGCAAGTACAACTGCTTGGTGTACAAAATTTAAGAAGACATTTACTTATAAGGTCCTGCCTTACCCTAGGCCTACCATGTGGATTTTGAAGAATGATTAGGATTTTGAAGTTTACATGGGAGGTGGTAAAAATTTTAAGATGGGAACTGCATCAACAAAGGAAAATTCTAAGTAGGATATACATAGGATATCCTATGTATATAGGTAGGATACATATATATCCTATATGTATATATATACATATATGTGTATATGTGAGGATTTAAGATTTGCAAAGTAAGGTGAGCCCAAGATAATGAATTACTTTTCCTTACGTAAGAGATAGGAAGTTAAGATTATAAACAGAATCAATTTGATAATATTCTCATTATAAATAATAAATTGATGATAATATAAATGGCTTAAAATAAATCTAAATAAAGCTGTATTAGATTGTCAGTAGGAAATACTTGCCATTTTCAATTATTCTATAGAGTTAAGTAATGAACATTTGAATTGTGGCTCTGGGAATGTCAGGAAGCAGACAGATTTGAGAGGCATAATGAGGTAAAATAAGCAAAATTTAGCAACTAATTTCCTAGGATGAAATGCAAAAAAAAAAAATCATCAAAAGTTATAGAACTATAATCAGTAGATTTGGGATTATTTTCTAAATTTAAAAAGGAAGACTGAGTGTCTGGCTAAATCTTTCTCTTGTAAGTGCCGGAATCCCATGTGGGCACCGGTTTGTATCCCAGCTGCTCCACTTCCCATCCAGCTCCCTGCTTGTGGCCTGGGAAAGCAATGCAGATGGCCCAAAGCCTTGGGATCCTGCAGCCCTGTGGGGGCCTGGAAGAAGCTCCTGGTCCTGGCATCGGGTTGGCTCAGCTCTGTCTATTGTAGCCATTTGGAAAGGGATCTGGTGGATGGAAGAGCTTTGTCTCTCCTTTTCTCTGTAAATTTCTGCCTTTTCTCTGTAAATAAATATAAATAAGTCTTAGAAAGGGAAGACAGACTTAGACCTTGGATTTTACACCAAGTTAAAATCTCTAGGTATTTAACGTTAGATGCCAGAAAGTAGAGTGCAAGAAAGATTTTCTTCTATGTATATATTTAGTGTCTTTTTTTTAAAACTTTTTTTTGGCATTTTATGATACAGTTCCATAGATCATGGGCTTTTCCCTATCCCCTCCCCGATTCCCTCCCCCCTCATTGAGTTCCCCTATATCATTACTATAGTATAGTTCTTCATACACAGTCATATGTCCATCATTGCGGGCATGGACAATGGCAGAGAGTACAGCATCCTATTGTCAAGATATAATAAACAGTTTCATTGGGAGTCCATCTTTGTCTGGAAGTAGAGATTCACACTGCATTGTATTCTCACGTCTGGATATGATAGTCTCCATTACACAGTTACTATATATCCCCTTAAAAGAACAGCCACAATACAGAATCAACAACGGGAAGAAAAATAGACACTTATAAAATAGCAAGTTAAATAACTTGCTACTGAAGGACTAATGTGTTGCTGAAGAAATGAAGAAATCAGAAACCTTCTTGAAGAAAATGATGCTACTGTATGATCTATGAGTCATCGAATAATCAAGAGAAAGTGTTTTGAAGAAATTAAGAAAAAAAATCCATGATATATAGTTTTCACTGATCTTTGTTGATGAGATATGTCTCCTGTAGGCAGCAAATAAATGGGTCTTTTTTTTTATTCAGTCTGCTAATCTATGACATTTGATGAGTTTAAGCCGTAAACATTCAGGGTTAATAAAAATAGGTGGTAATTTGGTCTCATCATTTTAGCAATGGGTTGTTCATTGATTTAGTGTCTATTTTTAAAGAAAAATCACTTATTTCTATAATACACATGTGGCATATGATACATTGTAGGAGGACACTTGATTGGATATCATTCGTATGAGTACAGTTGAATGGATATCTTGTATGAGAACACCTGGTTGGATATCATTTGAATGGGAACAATTGGATATATAAAACAAAGAGATATTTTCAGACATGGGTGTGGAAACAATTGGTTCCATAGACAGGCTTATGGGAACTATGTAAGCTCCTAAATGCTTCCTGCCTTTTCCTTTGTGACCCTCGGTCTGTAAAAGCCTGATACCGCAGTGAGCGTCATCTGTTAACCACCAGTCGATAATCCGTGTGTATGATTATCAGCTCCATGCACCAAGTCCAGCGCTGAAGGACAGTGAACAGTGCATCTTGGCTAGAGATCTGAATACTTGGCTAGAAAGTGGCTACTATTTGCATTTACATACGGCAGACTTAATAATAAATGACCTGAATGTCCTTAAAAGTTTCTCATCTTACAGGTAATGCTAGTCTCTTCCCTAGTGTACTTCATAAAAGCAGTAGAAACAAAATTAAATCTGAATTGGTACATATATTTCCTTTTCCTCTAATGTGAATAAAAGGCCTCTTTCCCTAATCTCGTGTTTACATGATAGCTATATTGTTAAATATTTATTTATTTATTTATTTGGGAAAGATATGCAGAGAGGAGATACAGAGAAAGATCTTGCATCCTCTGGTTCACTCCCCAATGGCTGCCACAGATGAAGCTGAGCCAATCTGAAGCCAGGAGCCAGGAGCCTTTTCCGGGTCTCCCACACGGGCACAGGGTTCCAAGACTTTAGGTCATCCTCTACAGCTTTCCCAGGCCACAAGCAGGGAGCTGGGTGGGAAGCAGGGCTGCCGGAATTAGAACCGGTGACCATATGGGATCCCAACATATACAAGGCGAGGATTTTATCCACTAGGCTTAGGTGCCAGGCCTGCTTCTCGGATGTTAGTGAAAATTTTAATGATAACTTGAACCCTTTCAGAATCTCTTCTAATAGAATATTGATTCCTCATGGTACTGTGAAGAGTAGTTTTTATAAAATGAAAATTATTAGATCATTCTTCTGCTTAAAAAACTTGGATTCTGTATTGCCATAGCACTGCATCCCAAATATGGTTGTCTACCAGAACCATTAAAAATATCAAGACAAAAATATACAAAGGCTATAGTAAGAATAGACTGGTATCTAACAGAGCACTAGAATTTGTTCTGTTTGTTCTTTTTAAAACCAATTCCTGGAAGACTTATTCAGCTATTTTTCTGATTAGCAATTTGAAATTCCTTTTTTATAAGATAAAGTCTAGTCAATTTGGCAAAAATAGCAGTGTTTTAGAGTCAGACTTTATTTTCTGTCATTTTTCACTCTTACAGGTATCCTGCTCTGACCACATTGACTATTTCTTTCTTTTTTATTTTTTTTATTTTTTGTTTTTAATATTTATTTTTATGGGAAAGTCAGATTGATTGACTTCCCCAAGTGGCCAAAATGGCCGGAGCTGAGCTGATCTGAAGCCAGGAGCCAGGAACTTCTTTGGGTCTCCCACTCCCACGTGGGTGCAGGATCCCAAGGCTTTGGGCCAGGAGTGCTTTCCAGGACACAAGCAGGGAGCTGGATGGGAAGTGAAGCAGCTAGGATATTTATTTTGTACCCATATGGGATTCTGGCACATACAAGGCGAGGACTTTAGCCACTAGGCTACTGCACTGGACCCTACATTGACTATAACAATGCTTTCTTCTTCTTCTTCTTCTTTTTTTGATCCTAGAAAAGCATTTTCCTGCCTCCCTGTGTTAGCGTCCCATTCTTCTTAAGCCAAAGCCAGAATTTGCTGTTCCCTACCCTTCCTGTCCTAGCTAATTTCTCTTTTCATAGCAAGTTTATTTAGTTATTTCTTCTATGGTGTATGTATATTAATTTTAAAATGTATTCAAGAGGTAGAGTTCTCATTGATTGGGATTGCTCACTCACCCAATGCCCACAACTGTTGGGGCTGGGCTGGTATCAGAGATGGGAGACAAGAATGCAGTGCAGGTCTCCATGTGAGTGGGAGGGACCAAAGTTTGAGCTTTCACTGCTGCCTCCGAGCATCTGTATTAGTAGCTAGGGTCTGGAACTGGAACCTGGCAGCAAACCCTGACACTCCCCAGTGGGCTGTGTCTTAACCCCTAGGCCAGATGCTGCCTTTTTCTATTTCTCTTTTCATTTCTCTTGAGTAAATATGAAGGAATTGGGTGCTTAACTTTACAAGATTATTTCCAAAGTAACTGTTTTTTTTTTATCAGAAAAGTACGATAAATGCCTACATTGTGTTTTGGTTAGTTTTATTTGCTTGTGTATTTGGTTTTTAATTTTTTGTTCTACTGAGAACTTGGTAGCAAGGACTGTTAGATTTAGAAGAACTTGAAACAAAAAAAAGTCGTTTGTTTTAAAGTGAGAGTTGCAGAGAGTGGGAGACCAAGAGAAAGAAATCTCTCCTCTGGTTCACGCCCCAGATAGCTTCCATGGCCAGAGGTGGGCTGGGGCTAGAAGCCTGAAGCCAGGGGGTTCATCTGATATCCTCTGTAGGTGGCAGAGGGTCAGACACTAGAACCATCTTCCACTGCTTTTCCCAGGCTGGCTGTTAGCAAGGAGCTGGATTGGAAGTGGAGCAGCTGCAACATAAACCAGTTCCCACCTGGTTTGCTGTCCTCACAGGCGACGTCCTTCCCTGCCACCCCATGACATTTTCTGCTAGGAGCACTTCACTTGCTGCATGGGTTTCAAAAGAAAACAGGACACTGTTGTACTAGCAGTATAGCTGTCTTCTGTCACTCATTAGAAATTTATATTCTTAACATTTTCTTTTCAGCACCGGATATAATTTAGCAAAATGCTTTACAGCTCACAGTCTTTTACTCTTAATGCCTTTTTGGGTCTAAATCCAGTCTTTCTTTTGCATGTCCAGTTTTTATTTTGAAAGAAAAATTTAACCCTATACTTTTTGGACCTTGACAATATTATATAGGGATTGATTATCACTTACTGTTATATATTCAACTATTTGCTTGGATTATACTTATGTTTAATGTTTTAATTGAAATTTATTAAATCTTTTGTAGTCTTCCCTATTCACTGGGAAAGCTTCATTTGAAATTTCTGGCAGTAGAAGGAAATCCTTTAAGAACCATTCGAAGAGAAATTATAAATGCAAGTATATGTAGAATTCAGCTATTTGTTTTTAAGTTTCAATTCAAATATGTATATATATTGATTTGTAAAACTGCAAGGTATGCCTGATGAATATGTGTTGTTTTCATTCTTTCAGAAAGGAACCGAAGAAGTCCTGAAATACCTACAAAGCAAGATACAAGGTACTTACATTTTGAAGGTTATACAAAAGTGTTGTGAAATAATATACGCAAGTTTAAGTGTACTGCAGATATAAGTACTTACAAACACAGTACCTAGTTCCAATTTTGAATTCTTATAGAACATATATGCTGGGGTTATAAAAATATGCTTACTCGCAATAGTTATCTGTCTTCAGTATCTTTGATCTGTATTAATGTGTGCCAATTAGAAAATACTGTAAGAAATATTCAGTAAGCAGCTAGTATTGAACTTTGAAAAAAGCAGTGCTTAATTTTTAGGAAATAATGTATGTGTGATTGCTAAATATATTTAGAGATACTTTTGTAGCTATTGCCCTTGTATAGTATTGCTAAATTCTCACAAAATATAAGAAAAAATATATTTGGGGGTGTGGAAATTTAGCATGACAATGAGCAAAGGTAACAATACTATAAATATGATTTTTTTTTAAAGGATTTATTTTTGCTAAAAAGTCAGAGAGGAAGAGATAGAGTAATCTTCTGTCTACTGATTCACTTCCTAAATGTTGCAACTACTCGAGCTGGGCTGATCTGAAGCTGTACCCAGGAGCTTCCTCCAGGTGTCCCCTGTTGGTGCATGGGCCCAAAGACTTAGGAGATCCTTGACTGCCTTCCCAGGGCATTAGCAGGAAGCAGGATGAGAAGCAGGACAGCCTGGACATACAGCAGCACCCAGCACTGCAGATGGAGGATTAGATAGCTAGGTCACTACACTAACCCCAGTAATATGATTTTTACTGCTTCACTAAAAGTGTAATAATAAATCTGTTTTTATTTCATTTCTGTTAGTATAGAATAAATTAATACATTAAAGTTGCAATTTAGGGCAATATATGTGATATACTGAACTGGTATCATATTTTCAGTGTGTTTGCGATTTTATAGTAATGGGCTTTGTTGATTCTAAAATTTTTGTGTTCTTAGAATCTTTCTGATGACCAGGTGAAAACGTATTGCTAAGTTCCGCTCAGAATTTCTGATTCACCTTGGTTTGAGGGTCCCATCAGGAAATGTACATTTGTCACAGTTTTCAAGTGAGACTCTTTGCTGTTCTGAGGATCATATTTTGAGTAATGTCTCATACCGCCTTAGTCATCATGATTTTTAAAAAAGATTTGTAAAACTGCAAGGTATGCCTTGCAGTTAACTGCACAGAGTCTCTAAGAAATGAGCTTTTTTTTTTCTCTTCATGCAGCTATGCATTCTACTTCCGGTACAGGCACTGTAAGCCTGTTCAGTTTTTTCCAAGGTCCTTATTGCCTCAGAAAATAAGCATTTATTTAGATTCTTTCATTTTAAGATAAACAGCAGATAATAAAATTATTTTAAAAAAAATCTTGAAACTGAAAAGCACTGTTGAAAAGTGACAAATTCTTTAAAATTGTTCTATTAACAAGAACTCCCTTCCAAGGTTTACCTTGGCACACCTTGATTACAGAACTTCCATGCCTCCTCAACATACGTTACTTCCATTAAAATATACTCTACATGCTTTTCTCACTGCGCTTAACATATTGTTTTATGTGTGTTTTTTTTTTAATTTTGTCCACTAGACTGAGTTATGTCTTTACTTCTTCCTATAATAGTACCTACTTGTTAGTATGTGTTGGATAATGTTATGTAATTAAGAAATAAGCAAATGGGCTTTCACCCTGTTTTTTTTTTCTGGGAGAAAATGTGATTCATGTGGCTTTTTTTTCCTTCAATAAAGCTACTGGCAAGGCAGAGTGATTTGTGCCAGTTTTCCTGAAAGAGAGAAATTGAGGGCCCAGTGCAATAGCCTAGGGGCTAAATCTTTTGCCTTGCATCCGCCAGGATCCCACATGGGTGCCAGTCCATATCCCAGCTGTTCCTCTTCCCATCCAGCTTTCTGCTTGTGGCCTCGGAAAGCAGTAAAGCATGGAGCAAAGTTTTGGGACCCTGCACACAAATGGGAGACCCAGAAGAAGCTCCTGGCTCCTGGCTTTGAATTGGCTCAATTCTGACTGTTGTGGCCACTTTAGAAGTGAGCTGTTGGATGTAAGATCTTTCTCTCTGCATTTCTTTTTCTCTGTATGTCTGCCTTTTCAATGTAAAATTAATGTTTTTTTTTAAAAAAAGAGATAAATTGAATCTGTAAATTGGGTGCCAAAATAGATGACACTCATTCAATTGAGTCACCCACAATGCCTTCTTAACAAATGAATAGATTTGAGAATTTCTGAAAAGTTTTTCTCTTCCTACTTTATGTGATTGAGTCTTCATTTGGCGTTTGTTTCACTTACTTGTGCAAATACAAGCAACTTTTGTGGCCAGCACAGCAGTTCTATAGGCTAATCCTCCACCTTCAAGCGCCAGCATTCCAGATCGTGACTGCTCTACTTCCCGACCTGCTCTCTGCTTGTGCCTGGGAAAACATTGGAGGATTGTCCAAAGCCTTGGGACTGTACTGATGTGGGAGACTCAGAGGAGACGCTGGCTCCTGGCTTCAGATATGCTCAGCTCTGGCCATTGTGGCTGTTTGGGGAGTGAACCAGTGGATGGAAGATCTTTCTCTCTGTCTCTCCTTCTGTTTATCTTACTTTTTAAAAAAGCAAATATAAGTTTTTCTCTGTGGAAATTTATAGATTAAGTGCCTTCTAGTTCTCTTAAATCTCACATTAATATACATTGATACACGTTAATATATATTTCATGTTAATCTACATTTACTCGTATTTTCTTAGTGTGCCCTGTTCAGTTGAAATTCTTGAAACTTGAGTATTGAAACTAAGTCAGTAAATGCATAGTGCAAAAAAATTAACCAGTTCACAACGTTTTATGATGAGAAATAAATTTTGTTTCACATCAGTACCTTCGACAAAGAGACTATATTCCCTCTTTAAAGGCTCTTTGACAATTAAAAATGTAGCTCTTTGGAAATCAGTGATCGTGGCAGTCTACATATAAATGTTAAAAACAATTGTTTTTGTTGTTGTTGGTTTAATATCCTGTCACTGCTTGTGTTTTTTTTGGCAACCAATACTGTGTATATTTCAAGTATTATAACCAAACTGCTAGGAAAGCTCTGTATACCACAGCATCTACTTGGTCTTAATATTTCTCTGATATTTTAGTTTTATATGCTATCTTTATAACTTTTCCTGTGCTGCTTCTATGAATAAGTATGTATAAGAAGTGTGTAAATGGGAAATAATGGTTTAATCAGTTTTTAAAATTACTTTTAATTGTGATACAGTAGTTATGCATTATTGTTTAATGACTGGCGGAATTCAGTTTAAGGTAAATAAACTGGATAGTCATTAGTAGATGTTAATTGGATACCTAGTGGGCTCAAGTAAAATCAATGCCAGTGATTTCTAAATATGAATTGTAGAATTGGTTCATCTTTTTCACATTGTTGAAAATTTGAAATCTTATTTTACTTCATTATAGATTTTTCAAGTCTTTCCTGCATAAAATGTTATTCTTTTAAATTTGTATTTTTTGGGTGCCATATGATGGGAATATTAAACAGTCTCTTTGATTAGTAAGTTGGTTATTGATATGTGATTATATGAGTATGAATGTATATTAGGAAAATGTCCAATAAAAGATAGTCTTTCTTTATCAACAAAATCTTGGCAGATACAATAATGTACCAGAGGCATACTTAATTATGAGAATTGCCAATTTTAAGTGATTGGAGTTAATCAGTTTTATTGTATACTAAACTGGAAAGAAGATAGTCATATGATTATTTGGGGGAACATGAAGGGAAATAATATGGGTATCTTCCCTTTGCTAAGAAATATTTTCTAATGGTTCATGTTATTTTGTTTAAGATAAAAACTTGATTTCTTTCTTCTTAGACATTGTACCTACTGTCTTACTCCTAAATTTCCTTACAGTAGGATTTATTTAACGGCTTTAAAGCCATGCTATAGACCTTTATCTGTTTTCTAATAATTAAATTTTATCTTCCAGATTGATATTTATTAGAAATAAAACATAATCCTGAAGGTTGTCTCACCAATAATATATAGAAATATTGTGTACTATATTTACCTATTATGAAGGGTTTAAAAAATTATCCTGATGTATGAATATAAGTTTTTATGTGATTTATCTTTTGCCAGATGATGGACCTAGTCAAAATGACTCTGCTGATAAGACTGCCATGACACTACCCAGCGAATCCAGTGTCAATATCCACGCCATCATCACTTCAAAGTTGTTAGATTATAGGTATGTAGTACTGAAAAGCACAAAAGGGACTTTTGAGAAAAAAATTTAAAAAGGAAAATTTGAGAAAAACACAACAGAGTACCTAGAATAACAGCAGTTGAAAAGAAGAAATATATTAAAATTATAATGACATTGTATACTTTAGTTGATTTTTGTCTATGGTAATAAATAGATTGTTTATTTCTTGACGGATGCTTTTATTAATAGTATAGTTTTTAGAAAAATTGTGTATTGTAAAAATGAAGTGACAGTATTGGTAATAATATTCTGTCTTAGAACTTGTGTCCTGTTAAAAAGAAATTAGTCCTTAGTTAATGAAAGTCTTATCTAGCAGACAGTTTGAGAAGTTGTACATGGCTAATGTTTCTTAATCTAAGATGAATAATATATATTGTAGTTGTAATATTCCATAGCATCACATTTTTTAAAACTCAAACTATTATGTTAATTGTACATTGAGATAGAAGCCTTAAAATGTTTGTATGTTATGGAAGTACATTAAATTGCGGAGATACCCATGTGAAGATTAAAGGTAGTAGTCCGGTGTTATTTTTATAGTGTATAAGCAGCTATGATAAAAAATAAATGATAGTCTCAAAGCTCATTACTGGCTCATGTGAAGATACTGTGAAAATACAAAAGAATACAGACTCAAGTAAGACAGATGGCTAGATTTATTTATGCATCTATAGTTAGTATCAGTGTTAACCTCTTAAGCTTAATGTGTCACTTGGAACTAATTTCTTGCAGCCAGCGTAAAGTTGTAGTTTGTATTTGTTGTGTTTCATTCAGTTTTCTCATCTCTTTCTTGTCATTCTTTAATATATATAGAAATCAGTATTTTAAATCTAATTCTGTTTACCATGCCAGAACAGGTAATTTTCCTCTTCTTATATTTATATCCCTGTATTGGCATAGCATAATAACGTTGCATAGTGTATCTTCCAGAAAGTGAACTACTGATTTGGTAGATTTTCTTGTTGTCTGCTAAATATCAACTTCTTTGCCGGGTATCATATAGGGATTGATGCTACAGAGTTCATTCCTGCCTTGGAATTTCTTAGCTTAGCGTTTTGTTTTTAATCTCTTGTCTGTCCGCTTCACCCTGGATAAATACCATTTATTGAGTCCATTCTATGTAAAACATTATACCATATATGCTAACATTCAGGCAATCTGTAAAGTTATTTTGGTCTTTCTTGGGATAACCATAGTTACTTTTATAAGCATAGATATTAGAAAAACATAATGGGGCCCGGCACAATGGCTCAGTGGTAAAGGTCCTCGCCTTGCACGCCCGGGATCCCATATGGGCGCCGGTTCTAATCCCGGCAGCCTCGCTTCCCTTCCAGCTCCCTGCCTGTGGCCCGGGAAAGCAGTCGAGGACGGCCCAAAGCTTTGGGACCCTGCACCTGCATGGGAGACCCGGAAGAGGCTCCTGGCTTTGGATTGGCTCAGCTCCAGCTGTTGCGGCCGCCTGGGGAGTGAATCAGTGGATGGAAGATCTTCTTGTCTCTCCTCTCTGTATATCCGCCTTTCCAATAAAAATAAAATAAATCTTAAAAAAAAAAGTTTTTTTTTTTATTGGAAAGGCGGATATACAGAGAGGAGAGACAGGAAGATCTTCCACCTGATGATTCACTCCCCAACTGAGTACAACAGCTGATGCTATGCCGATCCGAAGCCAGGAGCCTCTTCTGGGTCTCCCACGCGGGTGCAGGGTCCCAAAGCTTTGGGCTGTCCTCCACTGCTTTCCCAGGCCACAGGCAGGGAGCTGGATGGGAAGCAGGGCCGTCGGGATTAGAACCGGCTCCCATATGGGATTCCGGGCATGCAAGGTGAGCACCTTAACCACTGCGCCATAGCGCCGGGCCCCCCAAAAAAAATCTTAAAAAAAAAAGAAAAACATAATTAAGATACATCTTTGATTGCTTTTATTCTAAATTGATTGCAATTTGCCTTATATATAAATTAGAACTATCCTATTTAAAATATGAATTCTCAAGCTCAGCATAAATGCTAGCAACTTTTTTTTTATTAATTGCATTGCATTATGTGACACAGTGTTATAGGCACTGTGATTCCCCCCACACCTCCCCGAACCCTCTCCCTATGGTGGATTTCTCCACCTTGTTGCATTACCACAGTTCAAATCCAGTTGAGGTTCTTTCATTGGAAGTATTTACCAGTGTGCTAGCAACTTTTAAAACAGCATCAATTTTCAAGATTTTTGGACACAGATCAGTTTCCCAAGATTTGAGCATCTCTGGAACAATTTAAATGGTACTTTATAGCAGAAACAGCTTTACTAAGATTTACTTCTAGCTTTAGAGATTTACTTCTGGTTGAAGGTAGAGGAATGGCCTATTCGTTTGCTGTGTGACTTTCAGGTTTCCTAGATTATGAAAATGTCTCTGGTTTTATTTGATTAGGTATATGAATGCCCGTATTTGGCCTATTGTTTATAATGCAATATGTTATCTGAATTTCTATAACGGATATTTTGTGATTTGATGAATTTTTATATTGTTTACAAGCCATCATAATCAACTACCTTGAAAAATTTTGTAAGTCCTTTTAAAAAATGAAAAGTAATAATTATTTCTTGCTGAAACTCAAAGGATTCATTTTTTTGAACAATCCTTCATTTTAGTGATAAACAGAAAAATCTAATTCCTGATGAAGTGTTTGATGCAGTAAAAAGCAACATCATCGTTTCTGTTAACTTCAGTAAGAATCAGCTATGTGAAATTCCGAAAAGGTAAGAATTGTTTATGATGCCATTTCTAGTAAAATGTGATGGTGATATTCATATGTAGCTGCAAGAAAAACAATTTATTATTTGTTAATTTGAAAGTAAACCTATTTTATTGCTAATTTTAAAGGAGTTACCAAAATGAAATTCTTTCATTTGTTAGAGGTATACAGATTTTGTAAACTGTTTATCTTTTATTTTTTAAACTATGTATAATTAGAATCATTAATAAAATGAAATTTTTTGTCTGTAAATAAAATATTGGGAGAAAAATGCTATGAAGTTATACAGTGCCAAGTTTATGTTTAATAATACAAATTTTAATTTAGAGATTTATGTCAAGGAATAGCCAAGCTACTGAATCTTTTCTACTAATAATATAGTAAAATTTATTGAAACCTGTTAATATTTTTCTACTAAAAAAGGGTCCTTGTAGTTTTTAGAAGTCTTATAGAACAATTGATTGGATATCAGCATGAGAACAATTGGATATTTTCAAAACAGAGATACTTTCAGACAAGGGATCCTTAGACAGGCTTAAGGGAACTAAACTCCTCAATGCCTCCTCCCTTATCCTATGTGACCCTCTGTATACGTAAGCCTGATGGCACTAATATTGGCCCCATGCACCAAGTCCATTGCTGGCAGACAGCCAGCAGTCATACTTTACATTTTACTTTGTGCCATACAGTCTTTGATATTTTAAATATGGAAAAGTTAGAGAAAATTACTTTTATGTTGGATTCTTCAAAAATGTTGTGTAGTAATAAACTACATACCCAAAGAAGGTTGATAGATGAACTTAACAGCTAAAATATTGAAAAGAAACTTGACCTGCAGAGTTGATAACTTGTACTGTATTGCAGATATATTGATTATGGCTTTTAACATGTTAAGTGGTTGCTTTTTATTTACTTACTTGTGAAATAGGGATTAAAAAATAGTAGTACATATTTATATGAATTAAATTAAAATGGCATAATTCACAGAAAGCATTTTGCAAGAAGATAATGCTTAGTACTTAAAATGTAAATGCTAATCATTTTAGTACTTAAAAGAAAAAAACAACTCATTTTCTTTCCTCTCTCTGTAACTATCCCTTTCAAGTAGATAAATTAGTTTTAAAAGGTGAGGGGGTGGTGGCCAGGGCAGGGAGGGGGACAGCATTGCAGCATTGGGCTTAAAACTTCCCTGACATTGGAATCCCACGTTGGCACCAGTTTTAGTCTTGGCTGCACCATTTCTAGTGTAGCTACCTGTTGATGTGCCTAGGAAATCAGTTGAGGGTGGCCCAAATGTCTCAGCCCCTGTACCTACACAGGAGACCCACATAAAGCTCCTGGTTTCTGGTTTTGGCCTGGCCCAGCCATGGACACTTCAGCCATGTGGGGACTGGACTAGCTTAGGAAGGATGTCTGTGTCTCTCTCCCTCTCCTCCTACTTCTCTCTGTAACTCTTTTAAGTGAACAGATTAAAATATATATATATATATATTGAGAAAATAGAATAGTTTTTAATTTGAAATGTTTAAAAATTTTAAAAAATCAGAGTTTGGGGCCCGGCGCGGTGGCACAGTGGTTAAGGTCCTCGCCTTGCATGCCCGGGATCCCATATAGATGCCGGTTCTAATCCTGGCAGTCCCGCTTCCCATCCAGCTCCCTGCCTGTGGCCTGGGAAAGCAGTTGAGGACGGCCCAAGGCTTTGGGACCCTGACCCGTGTGGGAGACCCAGAAGAGGCTCCTGGCTTCAGATTGGCTCAGCCCCAGCCATTGTGGCCGCCTGGGGAGTGAATCATCAAGTGGAAGATCTTCCTCTCTGTCTCTCCTCTCTGTATATCTGCCTTTCCAATAAAAATAAATCTTTAAAAAAAATTAAAACAAAAAGATCTTCCTCTCTATTTAAAAAAATCAGACTTTGTTCAGGAAATTTAAACCTTGAATAATAATTTTATGAAGGTTCATTGCAGCAAGGAGATGTAGCACATCTTCTGATTTTGCCTTGTTTAAAAAACTGAGCGAATAGTTTGATGCAATAGTTGAGCATTAAAACTGTCAGCTTAGGTTTGTTTTGCCCGGTCCTGAATCAAGCAAGTTACTGGGGGAGGGGCTGGAGCAGATTGAAGGATTCTTATTAGGTTATTATTTACTTATTTTATTCTACCCACCTGGTCCTTATGCAAAATAATATGCTATTCTATTACCAAATCCATTGTATCACATTTTCAGCAGCTTTGAAAGCCATAAAAAGGCAGTAAAGGTCACTGATTTGTGCTGTTAATTTCATAGCATGGCATGTTTTATCTTAAGTTGTAGCCTGTTTAGAATGATATTGTATGTAGTGTGTTGAATACCTTATCCGTTATAAATTTTCCCCTATCTGTGTATTCATTCTTTTGTCTTTTAGTATGATACACTAAAGATTGTTACGGTTTAATTTACATTTCTTGGTAAATGACATTAGTAACATAATTGAAAGTACTAAGCTTGATTAGGCTTACTCAGAAATGTTTAATACTTCCTGTCTAAGCCTAACTTAAACTGTTCAGTGGTGACACCTACCAGACTAGGAACTGATTTAGAATCATGATTAAATTTAGTACTGATATGTATTTTTTTAAATAGCAAGTTAAAGAAGTTGACACAGTACATTTAAGAACATTTTCAAGAACTCAAAAGCAGTTGTTATTACATTGTATAGTTTGTAGAAATTCCTGTTTTACAGGATATATGTCTAACAATTTATGATTAATGTGAAATAATATAAAATATAAAAATGTCCTGGATTTTATTTTTGTCTTTGTGCCATGACTGGCTAACGTCAAAATATATGAGCTTTACGTAAAACTTTAGCATCAATTTTAAGGTCAAATAGAAACTTTTACATAGACAATAGTAAGTCTGTATTTTTGTTTGTTTTTCAGAAGTTTATTTATATTAGTAATTCAACCAAATTCAAACATCTTATGAAAAAGGCTCAATTATCAGAAACAACATGGAACTTTTCCTTACTTAGGATCTGTTTATGATTTTGAAGTTCTGATTGTGAATTAAGTGCTAACACTTTTAAAAATCTTTCTTGTTTCAGGATTATTGAACTGAAAGACATGGTTACTGACGTCAACCTCAGTTTTAATAAGCTTTCCTCTATATCCTCGGAATTCTGTATGCTTCAGAAATTGACATTTTTAGATGTCAGGTATTTGTTGCTATTGTCACGGCCTGATTTTTTGAAAATTGTGATTTGTCTTTTACCTAACTTATGCCCTATAAGTTTTATTGTTGTGGTTAAGTATGAAAACTGGGTTTTAGATTAGTAACAGGATTTTAGAGGAAATTTAAGTATTAGCAGATATTTAATCAGGCATCTGCATAAGTGATTGTTAAAATAAGTAATAAGAAATACATTGATCTTTTCCTGAAATTAGATAGAATAAAACTGGCACAACCCTATGCTACACAGTAGCTTGCATGCTTCTCTTTAAACAACCTATTTGGTTTTAGAATACTGTATTAAATAGTTAAGACCAAGAATAAAGTAATTAGGAGTGGCAACAAAAATAAATGAAACCTGGACCCAGTGCAATAGCTTAGTGATTAAAGTCCTTGCCTTGGACACACTGGGATCCCATATGGGCGCCGGTTCTAATCCCAGCGACCCTGCTTTCCATCTTGTGCTCCCTGCTTGTGACCTGGGAAAGTAGTCTCGAGGATGGCCCAGGGCCTTTGTACCCTGCACCCACATGGGAGACCTAGAGGAGCTCCTGGCTCCTGGCTTCAGATTGGCTTGGCTCCAGCTGTTGTGGTCACTTGGGGAGTGAACCATCAGATCGTCCTCTCTGTGTCTCCTCCTCTGTATATCCGCTTTTCCAATAAAAATAAATAAACCTTTAAAAAAATAAATGAAACCATATTTAAGATTTTCAGAGGTAATAGAAAATCTAATTTAAGCATGTGTGATTTGAAGTAATGGACTCAGCAGTAGCACAGCTCCTTAAGAATCATAATATGTATGCTTCAGAGCAACTCAAGCGTTTATTGCTTGTGTTTCAACATTTTATTGTTAAACGACATCTCCACAGCATTTTCAGTAGGTGCATTTTTAGTATATTTAACATTTGAATAGTACACTTAAAAGTACTAACCTTGTTTAGCCTTGCTTATCGATATTTAAGTTTTCCTGTTTCAGTTTTTATATTGCTGAACCTTGCCAAACCTAGGAATTGAAATAATGTTTCTTGTAATCATGACTAGGTATAATGAAAATTTAATTGATAATATTATGATAAAAGATAATGTATTTAAAAACATTTAAAATGTTTATAAGCAGTTGATATGTAGTTTAATCAGAAAACCCCTTTGTTACAGGATGTATGAGACAATTGATTTTATAAATTCAAGTCATTAACTGAATTAAGTATGATGTTTATCCTGGTTTGCTGTTTCTTGATTGCTCCAACAGCAGTAAAATAATAAGATATCTTTCTGAGGATTTGTACTTGATGTAGATGCAGATTTTTTTGCTTGTACAATTAAGGCCAATTGATTGATCCTCCACTCCTAGTAGGTATGGAAGCGCTTCTATTTCCAGGTGGCAAGTATATTGATAAAACTGTAATACCACATTTTCATTCAATATCAGTAGAGCAGGTGACTGAATCCTAGTCTCTGTTTCTGCTATCTATTTCCTTTTGTTGCAGTTTGCAAACGCACGCACACACTTTTGTTTGTAAATGTATTTAAAGCTTTTACATTCAGTGATCAGCATGTGCTTTCATGCCTTGTAATAAGTAGGTCAAAAATTCTCTAGGAAAATAATAAAATGTTGAAATGTTAATACAGACAATAACTGAAAAAAAATCAGAGGAAAAAAGTAGGTTACTTATAGTCACTTGTATGTTAAGGATGACTTCTGAATCAGAAGGAATAGATTAGAGAAAATTACTCAGTTGTGATAAGTAGTCATCTAGTTGGAAATAATTTTCCCCACATACATTTTCTGTTACTAGTTTGTCGCCTCTTTAAAGAGTCACAAAGACAGCAGAGAGAGAAAGAGGGAGGATGAATGAAAGCCTCTCACCTGCTGGTTCACTCCCCAAATGGCCATAAAGATCAGGGCTGGGCTATGCCGAAGCCAGGAGCCTGGAACTCCATTTGGATTCCATTTCTAGGTACAGGGGCCCCACACTAGGGCCATTCTCCCTTGCCTTCCCAGACATAATATCAGGAAGCTGGGTCAAGATGTAGATCAGCCAGGACAGCATAGTACCATTGGGATCCAGATATCGCTGCAAGGCAGCCTAACTTGCTGCAGCAGAGTGCTGGCCCCAAATGCTTCTGCTTTCTTGTTTACATCCAGCATTGCTCCTAGACTTCCAAATTCAAACGAGAATTTGTTTGCTTAATGTTTCATTGTAAGTTCTAAAACATGCATATATATAGATAGTCTTGGAGTAAAATTTGAATTGCTTAGTACAGAGTAGTAATCTAATTTTTAAACATTGAATCTCGTTTCATTTTTGTGTATTTTTTCAATTGTTGGAGTAGATTTTCATGTCTGTGAAGGACATATATAGTGTACTAATAGGAAATTTATTTCACATAGTGTTTTAGATGAGATGTAGAGGATTTTGAACTGTAGGAAGTATTGCTGAATTGTTTAAAGGAGTTAGGGAATTAGTTACATTGTTTACCTTAAGTGTATTAAGTGTTATTTGCATAATTAGTTGCATATTAGCATTGGTATTTGATACACTCAACAAAATACTTGCGGTGATTGAATCAGAAATGGTAGGGACCCACTTCAGTAAGATTAGATCAAGTGTTGACACATTGGTATAAGTATCTTTATTTTTGTTCAATACCTTTAGTGGTTTTTTTAAATTTGTAAACCTTATCATTCAAATATTTTGGTTTCCAATTTAGGAACAATTTTTTAAATTCCTTGCCGGAAGAAATGGAGTCATTGATAAGACTACAAATAATCAATCTTTCCTTCAATAGGTAAGCAACTGAACAGACATTTCTAACCACTACATAGTGGAAAATAAGAGTCTTTGCTACCAGAAAAAAAATAATAAAAACCCAAATAAATTTGAAAAAGCTCTTTCTCTTTACTTTTTTTGTGTTTTCACTTTGAATTGACAGTGATGCTAGTTGTTTGGAGTTCTTAGTGTTGATATCTAGCAGGTTTGGTTTTTTTTGTTACTTTTTGCAGTTTTGAGAATTAAGTAGAATAATAGACTGTTACACAAGCAATTTGTTACATTTGAAGAATAAGACATAGCAAAGCATGAGTGCTATGATTACTTGGAAGTGAGGTAGCTTTGAGGACTAGTCTTGAAATACAGTCCTTTGAAAGGCATAGGAAGAGGGCATCCCAGTTAAAGCAGAAAGCATGTGGTAAGGCACAGAGATGTGAGGACATGATATGGTACAGTGTTCCATGGGCTGTAAAGTAAGGAAATAGAGGATAAAGGTGGATAGAGGATGAGGTGGACTTGTAAGCAGTAGATCTCAGGACTTTTTAGACTAAATAAGACTTAGATTTAACTACAGCACTATCAACTTGCTTGAGATAATTAAGTATAGCTAATATTTATGGAGAGTTTATTATTTGGTGGTGCTGTGCTAAATACTATACATGCATTGTCTCCTCTTTTTTATCTCCTCTTTTAAAAATCCCTGTTTGGTAGATTCTGTTATGTTTATTCAGAAAATTAAGGAGTTGATGTTAATTTGTCGAAACGTAAGATACTAAGGAGTCAGGATTTAGGTTCCTGGAAGTCTACTGCAAAAATTGAGCTCTCACTAACTCTTTTGTATTGCTTCCTGTAATTAAATTTAATTTGTGAATTCCCTTTAATAAACATATCAACAGCTAACATTTGTTGTAACCCACATAATGCCTTAAGATCTAAAAGCATACTGTCCTTATTTAAAAAAAAAGTATATATGCTTAGTACTGTACTGTTGTTATTTACAGATGAGAACTAATACATGGTGACATTAAAATAAGTACTACTTATTTATTGGTTTTCCCATTCCTCTGAAACATCATTGTTGCTTTGTGTTTCCATGTCACTGTTCTTAAGCTTATTTTATTTGTATATGACCAGATTTCACACATTTCACAGTGCACTTTAGAGACATGATGATACTTCACCCATTACCGTGTCTCCTGCCTGTATTCCCCTTTACCCCCTTTTTAAAAAATTTTTACAATGGCTTATTTTCATGTTGCTTATCAACCACAGGCTTAACACTCCATTGAGTAAAGATTTCAACAAATAACAAGTAGTATAAAATCTGCCTTTCAAATGAAAATAAATCTTAAAAAAATAAAAAAAATAGTACTACCTACACAAAGATAGGAAACGTTTTAACTTTGAATATGTAGAATTAATAATGAGTTAGATATCTGTCACTGAAGGTTTTTGATTTTCTGGAAAATAATGTAAAACTCACACAAAATTCAAGTAAACATTACTTTGTGATATCAAACTGAAAATCATTGTTTCAAGGGAAGATTTTGATCTCTGGAGATACCTATGTTTTCTCCTTACTATAGGTTCAAAACTTTTCCTGAAGTGCTATATCGTATCCCTGCACTGGAAACAATTCTTATTAGTAATAATCAGGTTGGGTCTCTGGATCCTCACAAAATGAAGACAATGGAACATCTGACTACATTGGACCTTCAAAATAATGACCTTCTACAGATCCCACCAGAGCTTGGTAATTGTGTGAACTTAAGGTAACTGTAATCCTATTGAGTTTTTTAAATTATTTGATGTTTTTTTTTCAAAGAATATTACAGGAAATTGATTTATATGCCTGTTAAAAATAACAGTTAAGTCAGAATTTTATCTGTTTATAAAATTTTACCAGATATATTTCTAAATTTTGTTTATATATTTGTGTCTCATATGTATATATACATAAAATAATAGATTGCTTTTGGTGGTGACTTTTATCATCACTTTACATATTCAGAACCCAAAAGTTAAAATGCCGTTGTAAGTGGAAATAACTTGCTTTATAAAAAAGATTTTTCACAATTTGTTAATAGCCTACCATCATTCTGCCCCAAGTGGGCAATGGCTTTTCTGTTTACATTCACTGTTCCCTTTGCCTTGGATGGCTTTGCCCTGCTTTCATTGATAGTTAACCCAGAGACCACTTTTTTTTAAGATTTGTTTTTATTGAAACAACAAAGTTACAGAGAATAGAAAGATCTTCCATCCGTTGGTTTGCTCCCCAGTTAACTGCAGTGGCTGGAGCTGAGCCAATTTGAGCCAGGAGCCAGGAGCTTCTTCCGGGTCTCCCACGTGGGTGCAGGGTCCCAAGGCTTTGGGCCGTCCTCTACTGCTTATCCAGGACAAGCAGGGAGCTGGATGGGAAGCGGGGCTGCTGGGACATGAACCAGTGCCCGTATGAAATCCTGGTTCATACAAGGTGAGAACTTTAGCTATTAGGTTACCACACTGGGCCCTATATACTTCTTTTAAAAGCTTTTCTTATTCTCCAGACAGAATTAGCTCTCTACTCTGATTTTCCATCATGCTTTGTTTAGACTCATTTATCTACTTTTGGTCTTTCTTTTGGAAAGAAGAAAAAAAAATCCTAAGTACCCAGAACATGGTAAATGCTTGTTAAGGGAATATAAAGAGTCATTGATATCAATGGAAAGCCATTTTTTATCAAAATATGTCAAATTTAATTTAACTGCTGAAAACCGTTATTAGAGATTTGACATGTTGTGTTTTGTGGAGATAGCACTGCCCTCTATCCTGGTACTTCATATTAGTAAATTGTAAATTAAAAGAGACAACTGTAGTTGATCCACATTATTTGTGGTAGTTGTTGTGTATAAAGTCACTCTGAGTACCAAATTAGTGAATGCGGAACCATTGCTCCTGAAGGAAGTAGGGCTGTCACATTTTCATCAAAGAATACATGATTTCATTTTATTGTGTTTATCAATAAAGATACCTTACTTTTTATTGTTGTTGGTCATTAACATTGAGATCATTTAGAAAAACACAATAATTCATGCCTGAATGAGGCTTACTTAACACAGGTGTGTTTTCCATGAGGACTGTTTGTGCTTAGGAAAACTAGACAGCACATCAGCCTCACTCCTGGAATGCTGGTTTAAGCTGAGATCACCAACAACAGTAGGAAAACTTAAAAAATAATGTGCCACTAAATGACCATAACAAGGCACTCACTTATGGTGTAAGAGCTGAAACAAAAAGGGCAAGGAGGGCCTGGTGCGATGGCTAAATGGCTAAATCCTCACTTTGCAAGCACCGGGATCCCATACGGGCACTGGTTCGTGTCCCACATGCTCCACTTCCCATCCAGCTCCCTGCTTGAGTGGCCTGGGAAAGCAGCAGAGGACGGCCCAAAACCTTGGGACCCTGCACTCATGTGGGAGGCCCAGAAGGAAGCTTTTGGCTTCTGGCTTCAGATTGGCTCAGCTCCAGCCATTGCAGCCATTTGCGGAGTGAACCAAATGTCTGTTTCTTGTGGTAAAATCTGATCTACCTTTCTAGCTAATGTGAACAGGTCCTTTTTTATTTTTAGTGCTCTCTTGCATTCTCTCTCTGCCTTTCCAATACAAATAGAAAGTGTAATTTAAAAAATAAAAAAAGGCCAAGTGTCACTGTGTGTGTCCTTGACTAGAAAAGTACCTTCTGATACCTCTTTTTTTGCTGCTGTTTATAAATCTGTAAATGACCTAGGAAATACCACATAGTGATTCAGAGACTAGAATATATTTTAGTGGGTAGTTAAATTCACATGTAAGAAATATACTAAGATTGATATTCCACTGTAGTTAACTCCTTTTTAAAAAACAGTAAAATTTCGGAAGAATTCCAAAGAAATAGAACTGTTTGAAGGTACAGTTTAGATCCACTTTGTAATAGGATGTGTATTTCTCTTTTGTTTACATAAAATTTAAGCTGTTTAAATAAACCCTTAAATCTAAAATTGAACTTTATTTTATAACATGAAAATAACCTTATAAATAAATGTATGTCTAGTCAAGCAATGGAAGAAAACAGCCATGTTAGTGTTTGGGTAAAGATGGAGGGGTTGTTGCAACTGTTACTTGAGGAATGTGTAAAATTTGATCTCTATATTAATTTTTAAAAATTGAAAGTTTGATAAATGGATTACAATATAACCCTTGACATGGATACTTATTGCTTGTCTAAATTTGTCTTCAACTATAAAATAGGAATATTAATTGTACTTAAATTATTGGATTAAGTTTGCCAGTGAATATAAATTGCTTCATGTGGTACCTTTCACGTAATAAGCATTCACTGTTTGTTATTATAGTTGCAATTTCAGCTGTGTAAATGTTCAGATTAAAAAAAATTTTTTTAAATTATTGACAAAATTGCAAATGAAATCAGATGAAAAATTTTATTAATGAAAGATGTTTGCATTCTCAATTTTTGTTTTTCATTTAGAACACTACTACTAGATGGGAATCCATTCCGTGTTCCTCGGGCAGCCATATTAATGAAGGGAACAGCTGCTGTACTGGAATATCTGAGAGACCGAATTCCTACTTAAATTAGAGTTGTTTTATGATCCTGATCATATTAATTGTCAGAAGGTATAACATTTTGTTTTATTATTCTAAAGGTGATTGCTGTAACTGAATTTAGTTTCCCAGTCTCGGCTAGGTGTTGGGATAACAGGCCTGAGCCATATTTACTGCCACTAGGTATTTTTATCTAACAAAACAACTGTTTGACATTTTAAGATGTTGTATACACTTATAAATGTGATAATAAGCACATACTTGTTTAATGTTCATTCGTTGCTTTTGAATGTTTTGCACAGGGATACTCCTAATCATTTTCATTCCTTTACAACAATAAGAGACACTTTTTCAGAAATGAACTTTTATTTAATCTGGTTAAATATTTTTATAGCAAAGCATTTTTGTAAACAGGGTTTTTTCTGCATTTCCTTTTTTATTCCATATAACATGACTAATTGACTTGAATGTGTCTAGTTTCTACCTTTGTATTCAGCATAATGAACCTAGCTGAATTTTGTCGAATATTGTTCTTTAGCATTTAGAAAAAGTTGAGACTTTTTCCTGCCTATATTAAGACTTTGGTGATGTGGTTATTCTCAGTGTATGTTTAAATTTTACATTCACTATTTTGTTTTTGTCTTCAGTTGAAATTTTCTACCTTTCAAAGATGTCTTTTTCCTATGTTTATGAGACATTTTCCAAGCTGTTTTTTAAATTTAATTTGATTTTTTTTTTTAAAAAAAGATTTATTTTTATTGGTAAGGCAGATTTACAGAGAAACAGACAGAAAGATCTTCCCTCTGCTGATTTCATTCCTCAAGTGGCCGTAACAGCTGGTGGCGAGCTAATCCGAAGCCAGGAGCCTGGAGCCTTTTCTGGGTCTCCCACACAGGTGCAGGGACCCAAGCCTTTGGACCGTCCTTTACTGCTTTCCCAGGGCCACACAAGCAAGGAGCAGTATGGAAAGTGGGGCAGATGGGTAACGAACCTGCATCAATATGGGAGCCTGGCCCACGTAAGGCAAGGACTTCAGCTACTAGGCTACCATGCAGAGCCCCCAGCTCTCTTAATACTACTCACAGAAATACTACTCAAGAAAAGATTTGAAGAAAATTGTGGAAGTGTTAGTTACTCTGATTAGTTTGAATTTAAAACTTGTTTTTTTCAGTGTTTTATATCCATGTAATTTGGTTATTGCTATATAATAATTGAAGGTAGCTGAATAGGTTACATCCACATATTTTCTCTGAAGTGAAATTATTGAGCAGTTATGTATATCCTTAGATATTTGAAAAAAAAAATGTTGAAGACAGTACCTTTTTAATTCTGTAGAAAACAGCAACAGAAAACTGCTAATAAGGCATACCACATAGAAATCTTAAATGGAGCCAGGCACTTTGATGCAGTGGGATAAAGCACCTCATAGAAAACCTGAGAGTTCCACATTGCAGAGCCTGGGGTTCCTGCTTCTAATCCAGTTTCCTGTAATGCATTCATTCCTGCCACCCGTGTTGGAAATCTTGGTGGGATTCCTGATTCCTGGTTTTGGGCTGGCCCAGCCCTGGCTGATGGTCTCTCCTTGTCCCTTTTCTTCTCTCTGTCACTGCCTTACAAATAAATAAGCAGTTCTTTAAAAGGGCAAATGGAAAAGGCTCATATATGGTCGACCTTGATTTAATAAATGCCAAATATAAACATTTTTGTTTACACTGAAGTGCATCAGTCATTATGCTTACCATATGATTCTGTTAAATAGATCAGTGCCGTGTTTATCACTTTATGTAGATTGGTAGATAAGTTTTGAGTGTTTGAGGCATGCTTATGTTCTGAAAAAAAAACCCTTGGCAATAAACACTGCATGTTTATAATAAAAGTTGCTTTTTTCAGACATTGATTGCGGTATCTTTGTTTTAAAAGAAACATGCCCTTTTCATATTACAGCTTTATCACTGATCGGGATTTTTGCTTTGATTATAAACAAAAGACACTTTACAATAAGGTGACATTTTATTTATACAATAAAGAGACTTTTGGTTATTCAAAACACTTTGTTAAATACTGAAAAAGTTGAGTACACCAAAGCCGAAAAATGGCTCTGTTATACGCTGCACAGCATTATGTTAGTCCCTGTGTTTTGTATCTGTACAGAAAGCATCCTCAAAATGCATTCTAATCACATTGTACACCTTTACTGGTTAGTGTCAATACAGAAAATAAAACTGGAGATTACAGGTTGCGTTTGCAATTAACTGACATCGTCATTAATTTCACTGATTCAGTAAATTTATAGATTCATAGAACTTTCTTTGCATGTAAAATGAAGCAGCTCTCAAAGTCATTATGGTCTCATACTGCAAAAAAAAAGCCCATTAAGTACATTCACAATCTATGTTAATAAAGTAGTAAATGTGTCTTCATTCAGTTTTATTTACATCAATATGTAGTCCAACTAAAAAGTACTGTTAATCATGATACAGTAGTCTTTTTAACACATACAAAAATGACAATTTATAGATAATTTAAGCTCAAAATCACAATTATCTCAAAATATTAATTACAGTACAGCCATTTCAATTAAACATTGTGATTTACTTTCTTTATAAAATGGTAAAATTCTTTATTAAAGTAAGCAATTTGTTTTGAACTGGCTAGAGTATACCCAAGTAGAAAACCTTAAATGTTAAGAGGTGTTTCCTGCCCCCACCCACCCAAATTTGTATACAGCCACCTAGGCTAGCAAAGAGACAGAAAAGGCCCCAATTTATAAAGATTAAGCCTCTTATGCTATACTGCTGTGGCTTGTTGCTTCTTCCATAAAAGCTTTACAAGGGGATTATCAATCAACTACTCAATGGAATGCATGCATTAATATACAGTATGCAAGATGTGTTTACTAATGTACAGAAAATGTGCACAAGGACTGCAAAAGAAGTCAAAGCAGCAGCACTGGATCTACCATTGAATATTGTAAACATGAAAATTACTCGATAATATAATGAAATTACTTTGAAATCAGATCTCAATTCAAGTTCTCTGACTGAAGGAGCTCTGGTTAATTTGGCCTTAAGATGTCACTGTTGTTCTGCACATATGGTAGTGAAGTAAGATGGCATAAAATCATGGGGGATTAGAAACTGTCTTCTTTTTATCAAAATAATGACCCAAGGTTGCGTCACTGGAAATTTTCCTGTAACTTATAAGAGAGTGAAATATTTCACTAAATAAAGTATATGACCTCAAATGAAAAATTTGTGTGTGTTTTTGGCTTATCAAAAAGTTTATGTAGGTAGGATTTCTTTATACTGTAATAAGAGTATTAGGTCTCCCAAAGTAACTGAGGTCAAAAGTAGTAATAGTTTAGGAAACAAAAACATTTTCATTGATATTTTCTAAAAATAACCTAAAATCATAAGCTAATGTCTTCACTAAAAGTAGTTAACTACCACTGTATTCTTTTAGAATTGCGTCTACTTAATACTCATTTTTTTTTTCCCTCAGAACAGAAAGAGCTCATAGTTCTATTATTGATTATATACTGCTGGGGACAGGGTGCCCTTGGATGGTTATAGAAAACTTTACTTGCAATAACCTAGAGTAATCTTACCTTCCCACAGTCATTTGTGATGGTTGTTGAAATTTACAAATCTGGTAGGTTTACCTCTGATTTCTCAATAAACTGGGGAACATATTTCCTCATATGAAGACAGTGTTATCATCCTTAAGCTTCCTTTAGTCCTTTCCGTACACTAAGTACAAAGAAACTTGATTGGCTCCTCAAGCAAAATAAATCTGGTTTATCAATTCTCTTTCTCTTCATTCCAAGCAAAAAAATGAGGCTTGCATTTTCAGGGAGAAAATGTTGAGGTTGTTGAAGGAAAATACCTTACTGTCATAAAGCAGAAGTATAAAAACACTTATTGCATTCTGTTGACACTAGGTGTCATCAAAACTAAAACCAAATTTTCTAGAGTAGTCCTTTCTAGCCTGAACTCTTGTGCGTTTTCCACATTCGAGAGTGGTAGGAACGGTCTCCTGAATAGGAAGATGCTACAAGTGATTGAACATAAAATGTATTCCAATAATACATTCTGGGAATAAATCACCATTCTAGCAGATACAGGAATTACTTTATGTTCTGTCTGCCTGAGCATTCCATCTTGTTCATCCTATATAGGACTTTGCAAAAATAACCTAATATTCTCTGACTAAATGAGATTTTCTTTAATAGAGGACTGAGAATGTGTAAAAGAGATGGAGGAATACAAACAAATACAATGTAATTTGTCCATTTGTCAAATGCTTTCCTTACCCAGCCTATCACACAGTCAATTGACCTGCACACCTGGACATTTTAACCTCTTTAGCTGTGCAAATCAAATGTGCAAAGAAAAACTTCCTATATATGTGTGTCTAAACAGACACAAAACCTGAGTCATAATGAAAAGATTTTAATGTAAGAAAACTTTTAAATAGGAAAATAACCTTTAAAGAGCCAAAAATACCTTTGTACACTATAAGCAGCTAATTTTAAACTTCAGTGTTCTTAAGCATCACATATTTTGTAAGACTTACCAAAACTCATTTATATCTGATAAATTTTCTTAACCACATTTTTATTTCTAACATCTATTTTCATTCCCCTGAATTCTCATTTCTTAAAAAAAAAACACATTCAGATAAGTCCTGTTTAATTTCAAACATTTCCTGTGATGGAGAAGAATATCAAAGAGGAAATTTGGGGATAGTGGGCATGTAACAATGCCAAGCCAAACTGGAATTTTAGAGTTCAAAAAATATCACGAGATATTTGCAAGAATATTCTGTAGCAAGAGCACTCACAGCACATGAAGCCATTCTCAGTTGCCGTCTACTGATCTGCAGACTATTACCTCTTAAGAACTCCTTTCTCCACGCTGCATTTTCATAGCTTTTGGCAAATTTCTCACCCTTTTCCATATGTGAACACTGACTGTGGTAACGAAGGTTCCTTGGCCTCCCCACCGTTTCCACTTTCCCACTGCAACCCTCATGCCACTTCTCTACACACTAGGAGAAAGTTTTGCTTGAAAGTCCTCACCATCCTTGCACTTGATACTGATTTAAGGCTCAATTCAGGGCATGCTCGTTTCCTGGACCATACTGAAGCAATGTCACACAGAAATGAGTGAAAATTGTTTTTTGCTGCAAACCCAGTTGCTCGTTGTCATTAATTATGCCTTTGTGTCAGTTCAATACATGGCAGATCGGGAGGGGAAGAGCCATCTGAACCGAAAGGTTCACTCCTTGCCTGTGTGATGAGATAGGACTATTCCTCCAAGGTTAGAGGATTTCTGGGTAGAGCTTAGATACTATCTTTGCCAATGAGCCTGGTTTGGGGGTGGGATAGGAAATGCATGCAGGCTGATAAGGGATTAGGTATTAGGTATTAGGGATTAGAGGTATTAGGCAAGAGAGCTGTATTGTGTTTGTGCCTTTGCATGTGACACTTGCCTGAGGATCACTGGAAGGAATTTGCATTGTACAGAAAGTTAAAAAAAAAGCCATAGTCTACTGACAAACTTGTTGCCATGGAAACTAGTGCAGAGAATTGAAACTATGACAAGCAGCTAAGGATTAAACATAAAGAAAATTGATAGGGAGTTGTTTTTTACATGGCAGTTTAAGCATTTGGAATTTTAGGAAAAAGAAAGTCCCTTA